CAGCTCTCAGAAACTGGCATAAATTTGTTAATAAATAACAAATATATTTGGTTCTTTCCAAAACTTTCAACAATAATTGCAGATTGGCCAGAAGCTGCAACATTTTGCTTAACGTATAAATCAACAAACTCTAAATATCCTTGCTATTTTTGTTTAGTATGTAGAAATGATTTGGCTAATGTAAAGCATTTCAAAGATGATTTAGTTCTACGAAATTATGAAAATATGCAAACATATTTTAAAAGAAATGAAAAAAAAGATGTTTGTATTGGATCGATTTTCATACCCCAACATTAAAATTTAGTTGACATGGTATATCTCATGGAGAAAATAGGATGTTGACTTGTTATTCGTTATTGAAAGAGAAAGAATATCTGACATACTTTTGCTGATCCAAATTTGCTTAATTATCAACTCAAAAAAGTTGAAATAATAGTTCCTATGACATGGCCTCTTTATTTATGTCCTGAAATTGACATTTTGGATGAGGAGGATGTCGATATTTCGCAAATTAATCGTGCAACAAGGGAACGTACAAAATCACAATATGATTATAAAGTAACATTTACTCAAAATCCCGAAACGTTAAGGGTAATACATAGTTTTCTCAAGTCGTTTCTATTTGTGGAAAAGAGGTACTGCTAATTCCTAAATTTATTAATTGGCTTGGTAAATTTTAAAATATTTAGGATCAAAGAAAAAAACATAAGGATTTACAAATTTACTATTATATATCTGAATCAAACATTGCTAGTAATTTCCTTATTTGGATTAATTTATCCAATTTTGTTATACAAGTAGTGTGTTTGGATGTGTAGCAAATATTTTAATTGTTAAAATTAATTGTGTTTGTATATTATAACATTAAATGATTTTAGATTTTCTTATTTTTAATTGGTTCAAAGTAGTATCTTGTAAGTTATGCTTTATAATCAAGCATATAAATTCTTAGTTTTGAAGTAACTTTATTAGTTCATAATTATTAATTTTCTTTAATTAAGTTTTTTAGTTATGTGTGTTTAGTTTTGTAGTTGGAATATTGCTAGATATATACTTGTAGCTATAATATAAATTTAATAGTTTATTGATTTGATTAATTTTACTTTGTATTTTGTTTTTTTTAGATTTTAAGTATTTTTTAAATTTCTTGAATTGGAATATTTCCTTTTTTAAGGTTATTTTTACTTGTTTGTAATATATAAAATATTCTTGATTTGTTATTGTTAGTATATATTTTTTTATTTCTTCTTTATTAATTAAGCTTTTTATTTTTTCAAAGCAGTATTTCACTTGGTTATTATTAATATATTTTTGTTTAATACTATTATAATTTTCAAAATATTCATATATTTTATTGAAAATATAGTCTAGTAGTTGTTTAATAATAGATATTAATAATAACTATATTATTTTGTTATAAGTATACTATGTATTTTTATTTTGATATATTTTCTAGTTTAGTTTTTTTAAGCTATATTTAGATATTTACTAGATAAATAAATACTATCTGTTATATTTTATATTTTGCTTTTTTAGATAAACAGTATTTCTTTACTACTCATTTTTGTAAGCTTATTTTAAATTCAATACATACTTTGATTAATTGTAATTTTTCTATTAATATATTTGATTCTTTAAATGCTTTTCATATTGCTATAATTTTTTTAGCTTTAAATGATTTTCTTTTTTAGTTTAATTTTTTCTTTTTCTTGATAATCTCTGTAAAATATTTTCTTTGAATTTATTCTTTGTAATAATACTATTTGGTATTTTTTTACTAAATAATATTTAAATAATATTTAAATTATTTAACAGATTGGTAGATTAAGATAATAATTAATAATTAGACTATAAATTCTAAATTTTTATATATAAAACAAATATTGTAATATATTTCTTAATTTTTATTAATTATTTCTCTATATTCTATAATGTTGTAAAAATTATTGCAAATACTATATTTTTAAAATACTTTGTATTCTAAATCTTCAATTAATGATAACTCTTCTATTTTTATTATTAAGTTGCTAGATAATAAATTTTATAAATTTAGTATTATCTAGTTCTTTTTAAGTTTGTTTTAGTTTTTTTTCTAAATATTAAGATTTTACTTGTTAATTTGAACTTTTTGTTTATAATTTTTATCTATTTTGTTATATTAATAGCAATATTGTAATTTCTTTATCTTGTTAATTTTTTTAATTTTTTTTGTAAAATATTTTTTTGTAAAATATTTTTTGCATTCTGAACAATATTTTTTTTATTTTTGGTAAGAGAAGTGACAAAAATCAGTTAATTTTTTAGGAGAAAAAATAAAAAAAATTAAAATTATATATAAAGATTTAATTAAATATATAAAGAGAAGTCAATAAAAAAAAAATAATTTTTTAAATAAAGTTTTCTTGAATTTAAGCTTAAATATCTTAGCAATTATCTTAT